TTTTTAGCATCTTTACAAGAGTGGATACAAAATAAAAAACGTACCATATGGTTTCGTGTATATTTATCACATTCAGAATGGATACCAATACTTGTGAAAGAAGGATTTAAATTTCATCATGCAAAACAAGAATATGTTATGCTTTATCGATGGTTAGTTAATGAAGAATGTAATATTCCACATTACGCACACACAAATTTAGGAATTGGTGGGTTTGTTTATAATGAAGAAACTCAAGAAGTTTTAGTTCTTAAAGAAAAATATGTAAATAAAAGAGCTATGTGGAAATTACCAGGTGGTCATGTGAATCCAGGTATATAATTTTTTATAAATTATTACAATAAATTAATGTTAAATTAATATAATTAATCATTTTTTAATATAAAAAATCACAATAAATTTATAAATATGTACTTATATGTATATATATATATATATATACATTATAATATTTTTATCTTTCAAATTTTTTTATTAAGGAGAAAATTTAGAAGAAGCTGTAAAAAGAGAAATTCTAGAAGAAACTGGTATACAAACTATTTTCAAGTGCATAATAAGCTTTAGACATATTCATGATTATTCATTTAACTGTTCTGATATATATATGATTGCTTATTTAACTCCTCTTAATTTTGATATTAAAAAATGTGAAAAAGAAATTTCTGAATGCAAATGGATGAAGGTAATTTTAATTTTTTATTGTTTTATTATTACAAAAAAATTTTTATTGTAATAATTATTATTTTATTCTATAGGTGAATGATTTTTTAAAACATTCGGATGTACATGAAAATAACAGATTGATTGCAAAAAAAATGTTAGAATTTTTTAAACATAAAATAGGAATTATTGTTGAACACAATAGACATTCTATAACAAACAAACCTATCTGTATATATAGTGTATCTAAGATTAATAATATATAACAATATGTAAAATAATTAGAATATATAATTAATTTTATAGTTTGAAGTAGAAAATAATTATTTTAAAAAATAACAAAAAATAAAATTATTTTTCGATAAATTTTTTTATATACTTTTTTTTTATTAATTATACTATATGAGCTGATTATATAAATATTATATTATTATATCAAATATATAACACTTCAAATTATGAATTCTATAAACATGAACACATACTTACTTATGTTTCTATAATTTTAAATTTAAAAAAAATAAATTAAAATTAAAAAAAACTTTAACAATTAAAATAATAGATGTAATAAAATTTTTTACATCACAATAAAAATATTCCAATAAAAAAATGACAATATTTATATATTTCATTATTTTTATTAGGTTGGAAAAAAGTTCTTGCAATTTTTAACTATTAAATTCAAATGCACATATCTCAGTTTCAACAAAACTTTATTAATCAAAATAAAGATCATTGCAATCAATGCACTTTTGCTAACAAGAAACAAGTTTTTTTATTCTAGTTGAATAAAATTCTGGAGTACTGGAGGCTTGAAAAAGTGGTAATCGGTAGGCGAGAGATGGATGTACGATCTGGCGTATACGATGGATGAAGTAGACTCTTCGTAACTCAATTCATTCAACTTTTAAAAGGTCGGTCGTGTAATCGGACGGTTATCGTGGAAAAGAATAGAACCATTTCTGTTGACTGTGTGATGGACACAAACATTAAAGTTTTTCGTGCATTTCGTCAATTTGGTTTGACAGTACTCTTCATTTGTAATGGTTTCACCAGGATTCAAGAAGCTGATAAATCAAACCGGCCACAGCCATCAAATTGTCACCATGACTTTCCTTTGGTGAAATTTTGGTTTTGTTGTGAAGTTTCGTCGTAGTCTAACCACAGTACCGATCGTCGCCGATTATCAAAAAATCCATTTTTCATCGCATGTTATAATTCATTCGAGAAATTTTATTGCGCAAGAGAAGAGCAGACGATATTTTAAAACGATTTTTTTGATGTTCGTTTAATTCGTGCGGCACCCATTTATTAAATTTTTTTGTTTTTCCAATTTTCTATATATGGTTACAGATTGTTATATGCATTACGCCCAAATCAAAAGGAAGCTTCCAAATGGTTGGTTTCAACTAAGGCTCTCAGGTCATTATTGTCAATATTTAATGGTCGACCACTGCGCTCATCGTCTTCAAGATTCTCGTTACGCGCTTCGAAATTTTTTAAATCATCATTGTGCAGTATATTCGTTAGTGGTCTCGCCTTGTTGATATCGCGAGCTATTTTGACAGCTTTCCTAATTTGAACTGGAATAGGAAAATTGTTCGAATCTGCTTCTTGACCATGTTTTCAACACCCTAAGAAATCAGGACTAATTTGAAAATAAAATTAATATCACATTTTCACAGAGCAAAAAATGCATTTTAAAATTATACAAAGTCAATGCAATTTAACATTAATTTAACATTTAGAATCAAAATAACAAAAACCGTAAAAACTTTCTTTCCAACTTAATATATATGTTAATTTCTGTAATAAGTAAGTTAATTATTTTAAAATTATTTATTTTTTTTATTGCTCTGTTTAGTTTTTATATTGATAATCATAATTTACCAAAATTATAAAAAGATTAAAGATAGGAAAATCTCTGTAAATTTGAAAAGGAAAATAAATAAATAAATAAAATATTATGTAAGACAAAAATATTAAAAAAAAATTACAATATTTAAAAATGGACAAATATTAAAATATTTTAATATTAAATGTTTTTTGAAAATCAGACTTTATATTGAAAGATAGCTTCCTCCTAGTTTTATTTACTATGTACTTCTTTATCATATTTTAGTTAATGACTGACAAACTCACAAGGAAAATGGAAGAACGTATATGTCGTTAAGGTTAAGGTTATACAATATTATTTTGTTAGTCGATTTGTTTACAATTCGACTATTTTTTCTTATAAGAAATATTAGCAAATAATCCAACGAGACTTCATATGTAGAAGAGTGTTTAATACGGCACAAAATTTGTTGCCAAGATGAGTAAAATGTATACAACCGCCAACCTCTCTGACAAAGAATTAAAAGAAGAAGGAAATCGACTTTTCAATCTTCACAAATATGAGGATGCTGCACACTGCTACACCAAAGCAATTGTGAGTGCTACTATGAATCTATGCAGGCAAGTTACGACATTGCATCTCATTCCTGCAGATTAAAAATCCAACCCAAGCACTATATTTTACGAACCGAGCGCTGTGTAACCTGAAATTGAAACGATGGGAATCATCCTGTCTAGACTGCAGACGTGCTCTCGATATCGATCCATGTCTGGTGAAGGGTCATTTTTTCTTGGGTCTAGCTCTTCTTGAAATGGAACTCTTCGATGAAGCTGTGAAACATTTACAAAGAGGTATGTCATATTTATATATATTTTTGTTTTGAAATTTCATTGGTTTCTTATTTTAATATGCTTACAAAAATTTATTTATAGGAAAACATTTCATCATTATGTCATAATTTTTATAAAATAATTATAAATTATATATATTAATATTTTTTTTCTAATATCTTAAGTGTACTTAATATTAATGATTAAATTTTTCATTTCATCATTTCATTATAAGATCATTTTATTTATTTCATATAATATAATCAAAAAAACATTATATATTTACATTTTGCGAAATATTTTTTAAAAAAACTTTATTTGTTTATTAATATAATTTTATATGCCATATCTTTTCGTATATGTTATCTTAATCTTTAAAAGCTATCATTGAAAAAAGTTGTATAAAAACAAGATTTGTTTAAAATAAAATTTCATTTATGACAGCATTTAAGGATTAGATTATCTTGCCATTACATATTTGTTTTATGAAACACATTATGATATTTATATATATATATATAATATTTTATATAAAATATTTTATTGTACATTATATATATCATTGTGAAATATGGAAGTATCTTGTGAATTATTTTTTTTATGGTATTCATGGTTTTTATGGCAATATGAAATTTGCCATTCTCATGATTACACATCTCAACGATAATGTAGCTGTGGATTTGGCCAAGGAACAAAAGTTAAATTATGGAGATGATATGACCAGCATTTTAAGGCAAGCACGAAAACGTTGTTTCCAATTGAGAGAAGAACAAAGAATTGCTCAAGATATTGAATTACAATCATATCTGAATCAATTGATAGTAGAAGATGCTGAACGAAGTTTAGCTGCTTTAAAGGAACAAGAAACAGTTAAAGATGCAGATACTAAAAGTGAAGGAGAAGCCTCATCTATTGAATTTACAAGGAAAAAAGAAGAGATAGAAGAAAAAGAGATACATGTATGGCTCACCTTAATGATTTATTTGCAAAAGTGGATGAAAGAAGAAGGGTGAGTGTATATTCTTGATTATTTTTGAAGTTTTTAATTGTATATGAAAAAAAGTAATTATGTATTATCTGCAATTTTTATGAATATGTGGAATAGAAAAGAGAAGTACCTGATTATTTATGTGGAAAAATTAGTTTTGAAATTTTACAAGAACCTGTAATAACACCAAGTGGAATTACATATGAACGAAAAGACATTGAAGAACATTTACAAAGGGTGGGACACTTTGATCCAGTTACTAGAGTTCGTTTAACTCAGGATCAATTAATTCCTAATTTAGCAATGAAGGAAGTAGTTGATACATTTCTACAAGAGAATGAGTGGGCATTATATTATTAATTTTTAAAATTAGGTTACTGCCATATTTCTATGATAATTGCATATATCATAATATTTTTGGGTCTCATTAATTTACATAAATGTGTATATCATTATCTTGTAAACAGTAAATAGATCATATATCTATATAAAATTGAATTCAATTTTTTTCTATTTTTCAATTTGATGTATGTAATTTAGTTTGTTATTTAAACAATTGTTGATTAATTAAATAAAATTAATTAAAATTAAAAATAAGAATAAAAAAATTTTTTTAGTTAATGAATTTAAGACAAACATAAAATATTAAAAATAGCAATAATACAATAAAAATAATACAATAAATGTGATGTTAAATAGGTCATATAAAAATGTTAAAATTGTATATCTTTTTCCGATAAACAATAAATTTATTGTTTGCTGTATAATAAAATATTTTAATATTTCCCAATTATTATAAATTAAATAAAAAATATTAACTTGTAATGTGTATATAGGTATTTTATTTATAATAATACAAATTATTTTATATAATTATATATTATATATATTATATACATATATATATTATAGATCCATTCAATTTAAACTTCAAGTCAGATTTGTAGTAGATGATTAGGATCAAAATGAATTGTTACAAATTTGACACATAGTTGTTAATCTCAGATAATTTTAAGTTATAGTTTGTATTTATATGTATTATAATATAAGCGAAAAATATTGCAGTTATAATAATATGTAATATTATTTTCATTTTTTGAAAATTAAAATAAAATATCAAAAATTTTTATCAATTTATTATATTTTTTATATTTGGGACCTGAATATTATATTGTAACATATGTAATTCAACAGATAAAGTATTTGCATATTTTTTATAAACACTTTTTCTTCTAAAAATATAAAAACAATAAGAAAGCTTCAAGAATAGTAAAGATTGTAAGACAACAGAATTTGTTCACGGCAGAAAGTTGAAAGTTCAATGAAATAATAATTTCAATATAATTATCATATTATTATATACATTCTAAATATAAATATTTTTATACAAACAGAATATATACAAGTTAGATGTACATGAAATTAATGTAGATAAAAAGATTAGATTAGAGTATTATTTTAAATAAATAATATTCTAAGAAAAAATGAAATTTAATGCAATAATACTAATAATTCCTGCTACAATAGGTGGTATACAATATTGATAAAAAGGTGGATGAGGTGCTGCTCCCATTAAAAGTACAATCCAACCTAAAAAACATAATATACTGGATAATATTCGAGATCGAC